CAGGACTGCTATTTGTCAGCACAAAGCAAAAATTATTATCTTTATCCACTCTTATATACTGTGCTTTGCACCTTTTAATATTCAAATTCAACTTTAATTTCTGCTACTTGTGGAATAAAACTGACTTTGCTTCTGCAATACTACTATTTGCAGCCCAAAATCTCAGCAATGCCCAGTGACAACACGTTGCAAAGACTGCTGCGTGTTTCACCTGTTTAGGGTGAATGTTCAAAGGCATTTCATTCTTGCAGGGTCCTTCCTGTGGACCTGTTTCAGTCTTTTTATCTCATTTTTGTCTTTTGCTTTAATGTGCTTAGTATGTCTTAACCTAATAGCTCAGTTTGATGCCTAGCAATACTATAGTAGATAGGCATTAAAGAAATAGAATTTATTATGATGATGCTGAGTTCAAGTACCAGGGAAATCTTCAAGGTATCTTGGTACAGTTGTCATTGTGGTTGCAACTGATACAAATTTTGATTTATTGTTGCAGTATTAACTCTTCTATGTTATGTGGTGTGCACAGCATGTATTTTAGCAATGTGCCAAAGTCAAAGTGATAATAATAATGATGATAATGATAATAATAGAAGGTTACCCTAGAATTTAAATGTGGTGGAAGAGCTCTTCGATTTACTGGCAATGATAATCAAAGCAAAAAGAGAAACAGGGTGCTTTGAATTTAACAGGACAAAGGTAAATCACAGCTACCACTCATTCCTTCATTGCTTTTTTTCAGGTGACAATATGTGTCCCTTTAACTTCATGGCTGAATTGAGTATAGCGTCCTGCTTACAGCCAGGATGCGCAGGTGGCTGCTGTCTTACCTCCTCCAACCAGTAACCCTGCTTCTACCCCAGCAAAGGCCTGTTTTCATCTGCAAGGCTCCCTGTAACTCACCCACATGCAAATGCTTCTGACCTTAATTAAAGCAGTTCACCTCTCTCTGCCTCAAGGGATAGTTTCCTCATAAGGCAGTTGTGTTTAATTAGCATTTGCATAGCATTCTGCTGGTTGCTCTCTGGGAGCGTTGTTCCGTAGGAGCGTGGGATTGCTGAAGCCTGACTGGCAAGCTTTGCACCCTCCTAATTGACACAGAAGCCAAGTAGAAGTTACACAAGGAAAGAACAGAGAATCGTTAATGATGGATCATTAGCAAGTAGCTCCTTTGAATGAATGTAGATAACTTTATAACTCTATCAAAGTGAAAAGTAGCATGATGAATTATGCATCAAACAATAAAAGCTCAAGGAAGACACTGGTTTTATAATTGCTGTGCAATTTTCTAGCATGCTCTAGTTTGTAAGATTAATTTCTTTGGGAAGTGTGAAGCATTCTATGCCTGTTGTACACTTAATGTCGATTTTGTTTTTCTCTCATTAGAGGTTTTATTCTGTGTCTTTTGGTATCACTGCAAAAACTCCCAGGGTTTGAGATACGCCATTTTTATACTAGGAAAAATTTGCACAAGCAAGTGAAAAATGTATAGCTACTAAATTAGTTCCTTTGAGGGCTTGCTGATTTCTCAGAATAAAGAGTTCTCAGATACACACACCTGAAATAAGATTGCTTTATATCTATAAATTATTACATTTTTTTAAATAGAAATTGCCTAATACTTTTGTAACTACATTGAATTTCTAGACTAATAAATCTCTAAGGGGCATTTTTCCTCTGAAATTATCTTCAGAAGCATTTCAGTTGGCACAGATAGATCATTCCTGTGGCTTGCACTAGTGCCAGTTCAGCCCTCAGTTAGTCCTAGGAAGAGGAATTGATACAAATATTGCCTAGTGATGTCACCTGTCCCTTTAAAAATCTACTGATCTCTCACTTGAGATTTCCTCTGAAAATTGAATTGAGTGTGTTCCAAGTGAGTACAATTAGAGGAATAAGTTAATAGGAAAGTTTTCCCTGATGTGAGCTCTTTCTTAGCTTTCATGAATATTAGTGGGTGAAAGGGACTGTGAGAGATCATCTAATCCATCAGCAAGCCCCAGGGATCAGCCATAGGATCAGCTGTGCTAGAATAATTCTTGTTCCTAAAGACCCGATTGGTAAGACCTCTGCAGCCTCCTCACATGGCCTGTTTCAGCATTTTGCTACCCCTGCCGTTATAAAAGTTTATTTTCTAGTGCCTAACTTCAGTTTCCTTTGTTGCAATTTAAATCAATTATTTCTCATTCATCATGGACATGAAAGAGGATTTACTTCTTCCTTGCAGAAAGGTCGCATGGATTTTTTGGGGGGTTGGGTTTTTTGGTGGTGGTTATTTTTTACATTTTTTTAAGACGGTTTTGAAGACTTTTTTTCCCTGGCCTTTCTCTTCAGGTCCACAATTCCACTTTGTTCAGTCTGTCATATTTTCTCTGATCATTTTGGCTGCTGTCCTGCAGAACCTCTTCAGGTGTTCCAGATGGCTGTGCAGTGGGGGCCCCACACCAGACACTGCTCCAGCTGTGACCTGCCAACTCTAACTAGAGCAAAAAGATTATTTCATGTGTCCTGCAGGCTTCTCTCCCGTTTGTACATCCCTGTATGATGCTTGCCTTTTTCGCAACAGCATGATGTTGTTGACTCATCTTCACTTTGTGATCTAGAATAACCCCTAGCTATTCCTACCTCGCTATTTGTCCCCTACCCTGTATTTATATAATTAAATGTAGTTCCTCCCCCTTGATGTCACTGAATTTCACCCTGTTTTATCAGCCCATTTCTCCAGTGTAGCCAGGTCATTGTGAAATCTGCTTCACAGTCAGTTTTAGCTTGAAGTCCTCAGAAACCTGAGCAGGTATGATCCGAGTTCCATCAGCCAACCCACTAAAAATATACTGATCATTGCTTCATCCTGAACAGATTCCTCTGGAGCTCACTTGAAACATTCTTTTGTTTTACAAGATCCCAGGTAGCAATTCTCTGAATATGATTTCCCTCTCAGAATTGCACCTGGCTTCGGATTTACCTAGATCATGTTTTTTTAGTGAGTTTATGGAAAACAGCAGAGAATTTTCTTTCTGAAAGTCAAATCTTGATCTGGCATCCTAGTGGTTGAAGGGTCATCTCACCTGACTTTAGATGTCTGGGTGGTAGAGGTCTGCATCTAAGGCACTTGTCTACCCTCTCCTTTATGAAGAAACATAGGTGATCACAATTCATCTGGCCAGGTTTAGTCATTTACCAGTGTCTCAGAAGAACTACACTGTAAGTGTGTCTTTTCATCTGCAGGGACTCCAAAGGGAGTCTAAGCAGCTAAACATCTATATCTAGGCTATTGGCGTCTAAAGTTAGGTAGGAGGTATCTCACCTCCAGCCCTTCTCCTGGTAGAAAGACAAGAGATCGAGTGTACACTATTTGTTCTAAATAGATGTATGCTGGCTGTTACTCATCTCCTGAGTACTTTCATTGTCATTATTTGTTCCAGTATTTAATGGAACGTGAAGTTTAAATTATTTGGTCCACAATCCCCCGGTTCTACCTCCTTTCCTTTTTAAACACAGGAACGATACCTGACCTCTTCCAGGAGCATACTCATCAGGAACGTACCAAATCAGCTTGAAAAAAACTGTTTTTCTCAGCACTCTTTATCTTATTTTGTCCTGCTTGGAGGTGGATATCTTTGCTGTATTAACCATTTGATTATAGTTGATGAAGACTGTTGAAAAAATGGCATATTTTGGCGGGCCACATGACCTTTGTCAGCATCTCTGCTCAAATAAATAGTAACTTCAAGTAGTGAACTTCCCTACTCATGCCCTTATAGGATGACTTCTTGTTCTGGTTCATTTCCCTTGCTGGCTGATAATCCTGTTTCTTCAGAAATAAGTCAAACGCTGTTCTGCCTATTAAAATGCCCTATGTATTTCTTTGCATTTCTAAGTAAAGGTATAGTGTCATAGGCAAAGACATAACTACATAAAATTTTTTCTGTAAATTCTTTTTGATGGTATAATAAAGACCATAACTATGAATAGAGGAATCCTTTTGCCAATTGTCTAAAGCATCAAAGGTTGTTGAATTTTGTATTAAAGAAAAGTTTTCAACTGACAATTCAGGGAATTATTGTCCTCTATTTCTGTATAAAACAGTTAGTCTTTCTATGCATACACTGTGTGCATACCTCAGTTTTGATCCTAGAGTAAATCTGGCTCGTTCTCTCTTCTGAGACTGATAGTAATGGTATAGCCAATTGTCTGCAGGGAACTGCACTGAAATTTCTGTTCCGTTCCCTCGAGAGGATTGCTAAAAAGTGAGATCTGACTACCTGCAATAGACATAAAATTCTTCATATCATTGCCAGCTTCCCTAAGTGATTTCCACCTTTGAAATTATTCTTGCCAGAGTAAATAAACCATTGTTGAGTTTCTTACAGCTGCTGCTACCTATATTTTTGATAGAAAACATAAAACAAGCTGGGAATATCTTTGCTGTACATGATGTCAGTTCTGCGTCACCGCAGGATAATGGAGCACGCTGCAGAGGTACTTGAGTTGTTGCTAACTGGAGATGGTGCTTCCCATCGTCCGGTGTGCTGCTCTGACATCACTGACAGTGTCTCAGCATGACATTTCATTGCGTTCTTATGGTTGAGCTGCCTCCTGTTGTAGATAGTGTGGGGATTTCTGCACCACATCCCATGGTGTGGTCTGGGCATTGCCTGTGTCATTCAAGTGGCAGAAAGTGGTAGACCTGTGATGTAATATGACTCAGAGCACCTTGACATAGATACCGCTGGGAAGAAGGGGAAGACTTTCTTAACGTTGGGTGAATATTCAGCAATTCTGCATTTGGGTAAACTGCTTAAAACTGGCTTATTGGTACATTATTGTGAACTGGAATTTTTTTAGTCTATAATTCCAGAATATAACTTTTCTGTGATAAGGACTGTGATGAGACTGCTGTGAAAATGAGATACTTTCCTTTAAACTAACATAGACGCTTCAATATAAATATGGGCAGTAACTCTGGAAAATAATTTCCCTCCTGTCTGCTTTTTTTACAGGACCAGGTGTCAGATACAGTGAATTTGCTGTGTCGCATCCCAAACCACCTCCGCTTGTTGGACAGCATACAGTGGAGATACTGAAGGGCATGCTGGGGTACAAGGATGATGCCATAGAAGAACTGCTCCGCACTGGTGCTGTGGCTCAGCATGAGGTCAGATAAGGAACATTAGCTACATTCCTTCACACTGAGTTCACATTACTTTGTCCTCTCTTTGCTCCCTTCAGCTTCCCTAATGGGACTCAAAGAGAAGACATAATTTAATTCCTAATTTTCTTCCATGTGTGTTTGTATGATTTTAACACTGATGTATCAAATAAACAATCTCACACTGTCTGAGTGAAAGATTTTCTTGGGACGGGTGGGAGTAAATGTAATTATACAGTCCTGTGTGGCTACTCATTTTCTGTACTTCATATGGGAAATGGAGTTCTTTATCATAATTACAGTAATTGCCTAAACGTTTGTCCCCAGAAAGACATAATGTTAGTGAAAAGAAGCAGAACCTTAAAAATCTGTATACTAGATTCTCCACTTGCAGAAAGCTGCCTTGTACAATTATTTTAGTAGAAAATCAATTATGTACAAATTGATGGTTGATCTAATTGATTTTGAACAGAATCATCAGTCATTAACTTTTTGTTCATCTCTATTTTAAGTCATGGGTAGATTAACCATTGCAAAACTCACTTCTGTTCCCTGGCATTCCCAGTTACCAGTATGTCTTTATATTACATTGCATGGTCATGACAATCCCAGCATGTTAGCAGAAATAAGCTGAAATTGGCACAGTTCTTCAGTTATGAAACAAACCTATTCCAAGACCCGTTGAGAGACAAACTATGGTTGAACAGTCTTTTGTAATTTTATTCAGAAAGGCCCAGGGTACTGTTAATTAAACATCGATCCACACAAAACCACATGCTGAATGTCAAATACCAGAACTAGCCAGAATTCTCGGTCTGGTTCTGTGGGTAGGTACTGATCCCTGTCTCTGATTCTAGTTTCCCTCCAAAGCACCTTTCACTGTGGAGAAAACACAGGTTAAAATCTGTGGAAAACTTTTGACTCAGTCCCACCCCCCGATTAAAATATGGTGAGAGTTGACAAACCTTCCTCAAATTTGGTAATACCATATCCTGCCGTAGAGCTGCTCGTAAGAGTAAGGCACTATGCATTGCAAGAAGGTGGAAGAATATGATCCACGGCAAATAGTAAGGAAAAGATTAAACAAGAGCCATTTATTCTCTATGAACCAATCTGGCATTACTTCACTCGCAGAAGACACGCCATGCTCCTCTATCGTAGTATATAATTTACAGCTAAAGTAAACTCGGTGTATGGGAAGGGTCTAACCTTTGTTGTGTGCACCCTGGGAGCGAGGCAAAGCCTTTCTATTCCTAGAACTAAATCAAACTAACTTAAATTGACACTCAACACATAACGTCGGTATTTCTCCCAAAGTATCGGAAACAGGCCTGGCATTATAACTAGCTTGTCACTTTGTTTCCACTCTAACAAACAACATCGTCTGTATTACATTTGAACTTCACAACTCTGCGTTACCTTCTGGGGGAAGAAAAGGGGTTATTACATAATCAAATTGCAGTGGAACCCCACTGTGGTTGCTCATTTTTGAAGCCCAGTGTGTTTTGGTTCATTTGTTTGCTTGTTTTCTCTGTGGCTTTGTGTTCTTTTTTTCAAATCTTCTTTTTTTTTTTTTTTCCCCTTTTTTTTTTTTTTTTTTTTTCCCTTCTTTTCTGGCCCCAAAATCCATACCGCCCTTTG